CCACCACCGCGGTGTGTACGCGTGCATGACGCCAACGCCCCCACTGAACGGCGGTCGGTCCGGGAAAGAAGAGAACTCGGGCGAAACCTGGTGCAACGGTGCAACTGACCGTCGTGAGGGACAGCCACTACCCCACTGCTCCCCTCTTCCGCTCCCCTCTTCCCCTTGCCTCTTATCCACCCCGCAATGTCCCAGTACCACGTAACACGCGCCCCGATAATGCAGGTCAAAGACATGAACTGCATCTTGCGTTTTCAGGTCCAGCGCAAAATTGAGACGGGTCAAAATTTGTCGATAAGCAGGTATGAAGGCGAAAAGGCGATTTTGGGTTTACGAGCAAAGAACCGCGAGACTCCAGATGTCGCTCAAGGTCAAGGTTGTTTGTGGGAAAAGTAACTTCGTCCTACTTTCAGTCATGATGCGCGGGAGGGAGAGCCTCATCTGCCCTGCCTCGCACTGTCAGCCCTGATAAACCGCCAGAGAGGTAGTCCACCTGCATAACACATCGCCAGTTCTGTATCAGCACGGATCAGCAGTGTGTTACGCAATCCTGCCCAATGTATCCGAAATACCGCACGAAAACGTGCAAGCAGGGGACCGCAGGCCGCTTACGTCCCGAGATGAATTAATCGCAATTTTACCTTCCATTGTCATCGCCGGGCCGGCGTTTACGAGCGGGCAGACACATGGGACCGAGGCTACATAAAGGGGGACCCTCGCGACGTCCGCCCCGTCAGTGTCCCCCGGGTCCCGGCGTATCGCACTCCGCCCTGCCATCATCAGAGTGCCATTCAGTAGCCCTGGAGTCTGGAGAGTGGCCTGGAGTTCGACAGCTCTACCGCGAGAGGTGCGTCCGTCTCCGTCCGCCCGTCCTCCGGGCCCGAGCCCGCCCGGGGCCCGCCCGTCTGCCGGCCCAAGAGTCATTGACGAGGGAGCGAGAGGGAGAGAGAGAGAAAGAGATAAGCGCGCGGGGCCGCTGGTGTTTCCCCGGCGCGCCGGCGGTACGGCGGCGGCGGGGGTACCGGGGTACTCCGGGCCGTCCAAGTCTCTCCGCGGCGAGCCGAGCGCGGAGCGCGGAGCACAGCCGAGCGGCGAGTCAAGTTCAGTGCTCAGCTGACGGCCGGCCGGAGCAGACGGCCGCCTCAGCGCGGAACGGCCACAAACGAAATCAACAACAGCAAAACAACAACAGAAAAGAGCGAAATGAAAACAAAGTGATTCCCGCCAGCCCGCGCCGTGTGTGACGTCACGAGACCTATCTGTGGTTCCCGCTGCTGTGATAAACTTACCGACCGAGGAGGAGCCGCGACGACAACCAGTCTGCGTCGAAGAATTATTGCAAACAGCAACAACATCAGCGGCAGCAGCAAGAACAAGAACGCCGGCAGCCCAGTGCAGTGCGCAAATAGGAATAAATTATTGTAATAATTTAAGTGGTGCGGACGTGTATAAGCTGTGATTTCTGGTTCCCACTTTTCTTCCGGACCGTGTGACGTGTGAGACGGCAACGATGCCCGAAATTTGTGAACACTCAAGAAAGTGCTAACAGTTTTGTACCTGTAATACAAGGAAAGTGTAGTGTAGGCACCATGTCGCAGTACCTCATCATCCTTCTGATTTCCCACGCGTTGTTATGCTGCCACCTGACGGGTAAGTTTAACACGACTATGGAAAGAAACCCGTCAAATGAAGACGTATTTTTCTACAGTACGTCGCGAAATCAAGAGGTAATGAATGCGAGGGTAATGGTTTGTTGGGTATGCGGTGGCACGGGCTTGCAGGCAGGCTGGTCTTCCCTCACCCCCC